GGTAATTTTATTATTATTAATGTGATTATATTTTAACTTTTATGTTCTAGGGTACATGTGCAGGTTTGTTATGGGGATTTGTTGTGCAAATTATTTAATCACCCAGCTATTAAGCCTGGTACCCATTAGTTATTTTTCCTGATCCTCTCTCTCCTCTCACCATCCACCCTTAAGTAGGCCCCAGTGTGTTCCCCTCTATGTGTCCACGTGTTCTCAATATTTAGCTCCCACTTATAAGTGAGAACATGCAGTATTCGGTTTTCTGTTCCTGCATTAGTTTGCTAAGAAAAATGGCTTCCAGTTCCATCCATGTTCCTACAAAGGACATGATCTCATTCTTTTTTATGGCCGCATAATATTTCATGGTGTATATGTGCCACATTTACTTTATCTAGTCTACCATTGATGGTCATTTGGGTTGATTTCATGACTTTGCTTTTGTGAATAGTGCTGCCATGAATGTACACGTGCATGTGTCTTTATGATACAACAGTTTACAGTTCTTTGTGTTTATACCCTGTAATGGGATTGCTGGGTCAAATGGTAGATCTGTTTTTAGGTCTTTGAGGAATCACCACACTGTTTTCCACAGTGGTTGAACTAATTTACATTCCCACCAACAGTGTATAGGCGTTCTTTTTTCTCCACAACCTTACCAGCATCTGTTATTTTTTGACTTTTCAATAGTAGCCATTTTGACTGGTGTGAAATGCCACCTTCCTTGTGGTTTTGGTTTGCATTTCTCTAACGATCAGTGATGTTAAGCTTTTTATCATATGCTTGTTGGCAGCATTTATGTCTTCCTTTTAGAAGTGTCTTGTCCTTTGCCTACTTTTTAATGGGATTGTTTGTTTTTTCTTGTAGATTATTTTAAGTTCCTTATAGATGCTGGATATTAGACCTTTGTCAGAAGCATAGTTTGCAAAAATTTTCTCCCATTCTGTAGGTTATCTGTTTACTCTGTTGACAGTTTGTTTTGCTGTGCAGTAGCTCTTTAGTTTAATTAGATTCCCATTTGTTAATTTTTGCTTTTGTTGTGATTGCTTTTGATGTTTTTGTCATGAAACCTTAGCCCACTCTTATGTTGAGAATAATGTTGCCATTACCAGTCCCTACAAAAACACACTTAAGTACACAGACCAGTGACACTATAAAGCAAGCACACAGTCAAGTCTGCATAATAACCAGCTAACATCATGCTGACAAGATCGAATCCACGTATATCAATACTAACCTTGAAAGTAATTGGGTTAACTACCCCAATTAAAAGGCACAGAGTAGCAGGATGAATAAAGTACCCAGACCCTATGGTAGGCTGTCTTCAAGACACTCATCTTACATGCAGGATCAAAAGAAATGGATGGAGGAAAATCTACCAAGCAAATGTAAAACAGAAAAAAGCAAGGGTTGCAATCCTAATTTCAGACAAAACAGACTTTAAACCAGTAAAGATTTAAAAACAAAAAACAAAACAAAAAAAAGGGAATAACATAATGGTAAAGGGTTCAATTCAACAATACCTAACTATTCTAAATATATATCCACTCAACATAGGAACACCCAGATTCATAAAGCAAGTTCTTAGAGACTTTCAAAGAGACTGACACTCCCACACAACAATAGTGGGAGACTTCAACATTCTACTACAGTTTTAGACAGATCATCAAGGCAGAAAATTAACAAAAACATATTCAGGACCTAAACTCAGCACTGGCTCAAATGAACCTGATAGATATCTACAGAACTCTTCACTCAAAAACAAAAGAGTATACATTCTTCTCATCGCCGCATGACACATACTCTAAAATCAACCATGTGGTCAAACAAAGAACACTCATCAGCAAATGCAAAAGAATTGAAATCGCAATAACCACTCTATCAGACCACAGCACAATTTTATTATTTTCTGAAAAAAATTTATTATAATTGAATGTGTAAATTTTTAAATAATTTTAGAAATGATAAAAATGCTCATGGGAACATGTATTCCTAATTTGGAAAACAATAGACTTCTTAACTATATTAAATTCAGAAAGCATGTAGGAATGTATAACTGTGGTACAGAAAACAGTTTTCCTTATTTCATCTAGCCTGTATATTCGAGGATGGTTAGTCTTGGCATAAGACTGGGCAAGTTAGGAGGTGACATTGCCAACATTTTTCTCAATAGTTTGATGTTAAGAGCAAATATTACCAATTGACCAAAATGTTCTTTCCTAAAGGCAGGGGCTTCCCCTGGAGCAGTGTTTCTAAACACTGTTTGCTCATTAGAATCACTGGAAAGCTTTTAGAGTTGCCAATACTTAGGCTGCACCCCAGATGAATTAAATTAACCTTGGAGGGTGGGCACCAAGGCATCAGTATTTTCTAAAACTTGCCACATGATTCCATGTGTGGCCAAGGTTGAGAATCTCTGTTAAGAGACGTAGCTGAGCTCACTCTTCTCTGCCACTTATATTACATTCGAGATCTTCAGGTCTACCTACAGTTCTTGATATGTTTAGGTAATGTTAAAGAATTTAGAAATCCTTTGAGGAAAAGAACCAAGCACAAAACCCAAAACAGCCCCCAAATCCAGGAAGTGATCTGATACTGAGACAGGACTCAGTATGTTGCTCCAAGCTGGCCTTAGGCTCATAGCTGGGCCAATGTTGTTCTCCTCTTTGACATAAATGATCCCACAGAACATCAACATCAGACAAGTCACTCCAAACCTTAGCAAAATAAGACACAAAGGTTGTTGTGCAATCTATACAACACCAACCACCCTCACTCTCAGCTAAAATGAGTGACTGCTGCTTCTGTGCCCATTACAGCTTTATCTTAGCTCTAGTCCACCCTCTTTATAGTAAAGTTTTATTGAAATACTCAATCACAGAATTGTCCTCACTTTCTGACAGCACCCTATCAAAACTGAACCCTCACTTCCATAGACCTTTTCCAAAATTACCCGAAGTGCAGATGCTCTAATAGGTTATTTCTAACACTCTTTTGCTGATATACCCCATGGTTTCCCATGGTGAGTCATCTCCTTCACTGCAGCAAATAAATAATAAACAAAACGTGTTGACTACAGATGTATTTCTGGTAGCATTTGGCTGAAGGACATTGACAGCTTTTCTCACAAAACCTCACCAAGAATACTGAAAAGAAGCTGGCTTTGAGACTAAATATTGAGCAATGTTGTCTTTGAATTGAGTGAATCACAGTGGTTGCTAACCTTGGCTGGGTTAAATTAAAATTACCTAAAGAGCCCAGACTGCAAACCAGACTGAATTAAATCGGAGTCTCTGAAGATAGGATGTAGGCACCAGTATCATTATAGCTCCTTAGGTAGTTCCAAAAAATAATAAATATAGGGAGAGAAATTACATAAACTAGAAAATTATACAGATTTGAAAACTGAGGCCAGTGGTGTTGAAGTAAGTTACCCTGAGTCTTTCAACCTACAAGCAGAAGGCCATCAGACCTATGAATGCAAGCAGTCTGACTGCAGATTCTGAAATTTTTTTTAGAGACAAGGTATCACTCTGTCACCCAGGTTGGAATGCAGTGGCATGATCATAGTTCACTGCAGCCTTGAATGCCTGGGCCCAAAACAATGTCCCCCACCCCCTCAGCCTCCTGAGTAGCTAGGACATAGGTGAACACCACACTGAGCAAAGTTTTTTATTTTTTGTGGTAATGGAGGCTTGCTGTGTTGCCCAGTCTGGTCTTGAATTCCTGGCCTCAAGGGATCCTCCCATCTTAGCCTCCCAAAATGTTGGGATTATAGGCATGGGCCATTACGCCAGCCAGAGAATGCACTTTTACCTTGGTGGTAATACTTTACAACCTTTGTGAGTGTTACCTATAAGGCTTTTGATGCTGGTGATACAATAATAAGAGGAAAACAGCACAAAATATAATCATAAAAGGATGAGCCCAACATTCCTAATAAAACCTGTAAGAGCCACTAAATATGATTCGGGGTCATTTCTTTTCTGCTTTTGAAATACTTGTTTACATATTTATTTCAGGAAGTGTTCACAACGTGTATTTATTTATTTTCCCCTTCAAAATATTGTTTTATAATAAAAATAACACATAAGGAAACATATATATATCACATATATATGTATATGATGTGTGTGTGTGCACATGTGTGTATGAAACTGAAAAACAATTGCCAGATTATGAGATGAATTATAATTTATTTATTTATTTATTTATTTATTTATTTATTTATTTATTTTTGAGATGGAGTCTCCCTCTGTCACCCAGGCTAGACTGCTATGGCGTGATCTTGGCTCACTGCAAGCTCTGCCTCCTAGGTTCATGCCCTTCTCCTGCCTCAGCCTCCCAGGTAGCTGGGACTACAGGCGCCGGCCACCACACCCGGCTAATTTTTTGTATTTTTAGTAGAGACTGAGTTTCACTGTAGTCAGGATGGTCTCGATCTCCTGACCTCGTGATCTGCCTGTCTCGGCCTCCCAAAGTGTTGGGATTACAGACGTGAGCCACTGCGCCCGGCCAGGAATTATAATTTCTTATCAAGGCAGCCATATGAGATGCTGATAGAAGGCACTAAAAAATGTCAAGCTACTATTATGAGAGATAGAATCACAATATCCTGTGTGAAATGTAAGACCTTGATGTAAAACTTTCCTTTCCCTGGGAAGCAGACGAGATTACCTGACTGTGGTTAACTGTCTATTGCTTCAAACTCTTATTAAGGCCCCTCTTGTTCCTCTTCCAAGAAGTAACAAAGAAATAGAACATATAACAATTTCCCTGATTTAAGAAAGTTTTTTTGGTTTTAATATTTTTCTTACATTCTTGGTTGCTATATACACATATAAATTTAGGAAACACCTGGCCTGTCAGTGTCCCAAATGAGATTAAAGGAGGCTGTGATTTGACATCATCATGATTTATTAATTTCTGTCTGGATAAAACAACAAAAGCGATCCAAATATTTTTCCCGGGTTTCCCTCCTACTTTGAAATAGCTGTCAGAACATGCTTCCAGTAGTGCTTGGCATTACAAGTAAACATAAGGTAACACTGGTAGTCTCTATCACTTGGGGTTCTGACTTTTTTATTACATTAACTTGAAAGCATCGTATAAGGGAGAGGCATCCCTAAATTTGGCAGACCATGAGAAATCACTAGAACTAATTAAAAGAGAATAGGGCTTTTTTTCTTTTTTAGAAAATTATTACAAGGCCACCAAGAAGCAAATCTTATGTTTCTTAGATTCAGATGGACTGTGAAAAACGACAAGATGGAAGATGATACAGACATTGTTTCTGACATCAATCTTCAGAAAAATGTTTCTAGCACGTGGCTGGAATATTTAAGGAGTTTATTTTTCAGTGCTCCTGATGACCTCCCTGAAATCATTCTAACATTGTCTTTGATCAGCACCATTGGAGGTAAGTATCACTCTCTCTTTATCTGAGTTTATTCTTCAGGTACGTCTTATAAATGCTACCATATAGAATTAAGGAAAGTAGAAGTAATAGGATATAATTTTGTCCTCAAACTTATATCTTTATATCAATATTTTCAATCAAATGAATCCAATAATAATTTGCTCCTATGGAGAGACATGTAGAATCTGATTTTCATAACATTCACCCTATTGGGTTCAAAGTGTTCATTCATACCTTCTTACTTGCTATGTCAGGGTTAGATTTCAGTGAAGGAGACAATTGAAGAAAACAGGTAGAAAATCACGGGTTAGGGCAGGGTGTTTCATAGGTTTTGTCCAAGTTATAAATTATGCCTGCTATTTTGAGAAGAAAAGAACATGGTATAAACAAAAAGAAAACACTTTTTGCACTTTCTTTGACCTTTTTAGGGACTGTATTACAAAGAAGCAGAAAAAAATTAAATGAAAGCAAATGTTATGATATTACTTATTGCACTTTTATAACAATAATACACAAAGTTAAATATTTGTTATGGGCTTTTTAATGTGTAATAAGAAACTAGTTTTTTTTTCACAGTATTATAAAATTTTATTTCAAAGCTTTTGATATAGCAACACATAAAAGCAATATGAAAACTAAATGTCAGGCCAGGTGCAGTGGTTCAACCTGTAATACTAACGCTTTGGGAGGCTGAGATGGGCAGATCACTTGAGTCCAGCAGTTCAAGACCAGTCCCATGAACATGGCAAAACCTGGTCTCAACAACAACCAGAAATTGGCTGCATGTGTTAGCAGGCACCAGCAGTCCCACCTACTCAGGAGGCTGAGGTAGGAGGACTGCCTGAGCCAGGAGGTGGATATCGCAGTGAGCCAAGATCATGCCACTGCACTCCAGCCTGGGTGACAGAGCGAGATCCTATCTCAAAAAAAAAAAAATAAATGTTAAATTATAACTGAATGCCAGAAGGAAAAATACAGCTGCTTGTAGACTTGATGTGCATATTTACATCTGGTTAAATATGCAGGCTCCCTAGCTTGTTTTACATGCAAGGAGTCCTGGCTTTGAGCATGCAAGCTGAAATTATGCAATGTAATCTTAATCTTTGCAAAAATTTATGGTTGTTTTGTGACTTTTAAGTTTGCTAGATTAAAAACTCTCCTGGCTGGGCACGGCGGCGGATGCCTGTAATCCCAGCACTGTAGGAGGCGGAGGCGGGCAGATTGCTTGAGCTCAGAAGCTCAGGACTGCCCCGGGCAACATGGCAAAATCCTGTCTCTACTAAAAACACAAAAAAAATTAGCCTGGAGTGGTGGTGCACACCTATGGTCCCAGCTACTTGGGGGGCTGAGGTGGGAGGATGGGTCCAGCCCCGGAGGCGAAGGTTGCAGTGAGCAGAGGTCAGACCTCTGCTCTCCAGCCTTGGTGATACAGCAGCACACTCTCTCAAAACAAAAGAAACCTCTCCTGCTGTTGTCTATAAATATTTTTCAGGAGATCGAGACCATCCTGGCTAACACGGTGAAACCCCGTCTCTACTAAAAATACAAAAAATTAGCCGGGCGTGGTCGCGGGCGCCTGTAGTCCCAGCTGCTCCGGAGGCTGAGGCAGGAGAATGGCGTGAACCCGGGAAGCGGAGCTTGCAGTGAGCCAAGATCGCGCCACTGCAGTCCAGCCTGGGCAACAGAGCGAGACTTCATCTAAAAAACAAACAAATAAATAAATAAATTAAAAATTAAAAATTGCATTTTTTTCTAATAATGTAAAACTAATATTTATATAGTATACTAAATTTTACTAATTTAAAATATTAGAAACATTGAAACACTAAAACGTTTCTTTATACTTTTATCAAGAGTAGTTTGAACAATGCTTGTCTTATATAACTTAACTGGTGAGCATCTTTTCTATGCCTTGGCAAATTGTCTCACTCCTTCTTAGCTTTGAGTCAGCTTTCAAAAGTTTATCCTTTGCATTTTCAATGTAATGAAGTATCCGAGAGCTCCTTTAATGTGAAGTTTTTTGCTGGCATCACTTCCTGAGACATGGTCGTTCTTTAAGTCACAACCACTTTCTTAATTTATGTCTATGCATTTGACTTTGCTAAATTCCTCTGGCTACATATCTAAAACTGCCTCTTGAACAGCAGCAGCGTTAACATTCCCGTAGTCAACTATATCTTCTGTAATATTCCATCTGAAGCTTTGCAGCTTCATGAGATAGCTTAACATCAATTCATGCCGACTTCTGAAATGATGAACCCAGCTTTTACTGGTAGTAATATATTCTCTTTCAGTCTTCTTGTCATTACCATTTTCTTTCAATGCAGTAACTAAGGTTATCACTTTGGCCTGAATGCTAGTCAAACTGATTGGGATTTGTTTTTGATTAATCTTCAATCCAAACAAGTAAATGTTCCATTTCAACCACAAGCAGCTTTCTGTTCCCAGTGCAATTAAAACTGAAAGACCCTGAAGCAACTTAACCTTTTTACATTTATCAGCCTTTTAAAATAGGTTTGTATTACAGTTTCATGCAGGTCTGAGTCTCAACCTATCTTTGCTTTGCTGTCACCACTTTCAAATCTAATCACATCCAATTTCACTTCCAGCATTATCACTTTTCTTTGCTGCCCTGTTCTTTGCTAACCAATTACCTCTTTTGATTATCCATTTTTGTAAATGGTCACGAGTTTAATCTTTGGGGTCGAGGAGGCAACACTACTATCCACTTTGTGCTTTGCTATCTGTGCATGAACTGATGATCAGTAATGAATCACCAACAAACTTTGAAAGAAGTAATGTAATTGAAGACTGATCATGATGCACATCTTTTTTTTTTTTTTTTTTGGCACAATGGTTTATGGAATAAAGAGCTAGCAGCAAAATTTATGCAAGTTTTCCCAATACTGTGGTCATGGAAATATTAACCACATTGTTGGACTGGTTTTATTTAACTTTACTGTGGTAACTGATATTTATGCATATTGGAACTGTGCAAAGCAAGGACTGCCTGTATCTAAAAAAAGAAAAACTCCTTATTAGTTCACAAAACAGTTAACTTTTAATCCAATTTAGTTAACTACTATCCAAGCCTAATCCTGAATCAAATAAAAACTGAACTGCTCACAGGAGTTAGAAAAATGTTTGGAGAGAATTTAATGCAGAATTCTTCAAATTAGGATTTGCATAGCACAAAGACATTCTAGTTTCTTTTTAGAGATAGGGTTTTGCTCTGTTGCCCAGTGTGGTGGCAATAATCACAAATCACTGCAGCTTCAACACCTGGGATGCAAGTGATCCTCCCATCTCAGCCTTCCCAGCAGCTAGGACAGGTACACACCACCATGCCTCGTTAATTATTTTATTTTTTTGTAGAGACAGAGTCTCATTTTGTTGCCAAGACTAATCTGGAACTCCTGGCCTCAAGGAATCCTTCTGCTTTGGCCACTCAAAGTGCAAGGATCACAGGCATGAGCCTCCATGGCCAGTCGACATTCCTTTGGGGATTCAGATCCCCTCCCCTCATTTCAACAGTCTTGAGGTCTGCCAAGAGTAAAGCTGTAGACAAAACAATCATCACAAGGCACACGACTGTAACTTTTTCCATAGCAGCCAGTACCATGTTTACACCTCAGTAAAACAGTAGCATCCATTCCATTAATGTTGTTTTAGTTTGTTTCTGAATGCGTTTATTTCACAAATCTGTTTGTTAGGGGCTATAAACAAAATTTGTATCAACTTTTATGTTTATGTATATTTACAAAATAGAAAATTAAGTCAGCATTAATTTAAGTTAACATGAATGGTCACAAGAATTTTTCCCCTCTATAAGGGGTGGATATTCAAGGAGACTTCAAAAAGTTTGTGGAAAAATGGAATTAAAAGTATAAACTATATTTCTAAACATTAGCTTGAAAAGATAAAAGTATAAGCTATATTTCTAAACATTAGCTTGATCGAGTTCAAGACACTTTTGTAAGGGATGATACCAGCTATTTAGTCCATCGTAAAGAACAGAGAGTTCTGGGAATTTAACCACATCAATGCACCTTTTTTTTTTTTTTTCATTATTAACTGAAGAAAAATGTACTGCCTTTAAAAAAATTATTAAGATTAGGAAACAAAAAGTCCAAAGGTGCCAAACCGGGACTATAGGGTGGATGCCTAGTGATTTCCATCAAAACGCTCACAAAATTGTCCTTGTTTGATGAGAGGGATGAGCAGGAGCTTTGCTGTGGTGAAGAACTCTCTGGTGAAGCTTTCTCCAGCATTTTTCTGCTAAAACTTTGGCTAAATTTCTCAAAACACTCTCATAATAAGCAGTTGTTACCATTCTTGGGCACTACAGAAAGTCAACAAGCAAAATGCCTTGCGCATCCAAAAGCTGTTGCCATGACCTTTGCTCTCAACCAGTCCACTTGTAGTTTGAACTACTTCTGCATCTTGGTAACCATTCATTGCTTTACTTGCACTTTGTCTTCCGGATCACACTGATAAAGCCATGTTTCCTCTCCTGTTACAAGTTTTCAATGAAATGCTTCAAGATCATGATCCCATTTATTTAAAATTTCCATTGAAAGGTCTGCTCTTGTCTGTAGCTGATCTGGGTGCAATGGTTTTTGTACCTCTCAGGTGTAAAGTTTGCTGAACTTTTCCAGTCAGAATTGTGTAAGGTGAACCAACTGAGATGTCTATGGTGTTGGCTATCATTTCTGCTGTTAATTGTTGGTTTTCTTCAATTAGGCCATCAACTAGATTAATTTTTTTCTCACAAACTGATGTGGATGATCTGCCACTGTGGGCTTCTTCTTCAACATTACCTTATCCCTTCTTAAAACTAATTATCCATTTGTAAACTGATCTCTTTGGAGCACTGTCTCCATAAACTTTTCATAAAGCATCAATTAAGTCACCTTTCTTCCACCCAAGTGTCAACATAAATTTGATGTTTGTTCTTGCTTCAATTTTAGCAGAATTCATATTCCTCTTTTCAAACCGATGTCTTATTCTTCTTAGTGCTTAAAACTGTATCCTTATGATACAAATCTTCAACGTCTTGATCAAATAAATATGACAAATGATGTTCTGTAAGAAAAACGCTCTTCACTTGTATTCCTTCCCTGCATATTTTGAGTAATTATCTTCCAAGACCCATGCATCTTTTCCCAAAATCTCTGAGAGTACAGTTCCTTATTTCCTTCACTGTGGTAAAGTGTTTCAGAAAAGGGTTCCTTGAATTAAAAGTCGGCATATCCTATTTGACTCCTGCTGCTCCGGTATCACATACCTACAGCCAATCATGCCAAGAGCTTCCCCGTTATCTCCACATTGGAGAGCCCTTTCTCCGGATATCCTCCAGTTTCAGAGACTGCACCCAGAGACCCGTTGGCAGGTTCCCGGATTCGCCTCAATTTTGGTCCTGCCTCTCTGCTTTGCATTTTCAGGCTTGGCCTTACAAGAAGGACGATGGTGCTGATTGTGCCAGAATGAGTGAAAAGAGGAGGAAAATGAACCAGTTGCAGCAAAACCCACTATTTCACAACTAGTTTTTAAAATTGGGCTAGTTTCTCATTGTTCGGAACCAGAAGATTACGTTAAAATTTACTTATTAACCTTTTATTGCAGGATTGCTAAAGAAATTAATCTCTGATTTATGATGTGTATAAAACTACTATAAATATTTCAGTAGTAACCCAAGAGACAATAATTGCTAATAATGTTTGTTAAGTTTCTAAGGAGATGAGAATGAGATACATCATAGGAGAGGTAAAACAGTAACCCGGTAGATTAACAGTTACACTAATTCTGTGTGCTGCTAAGTGTAAGGGATGATTTTAAACTCATGAAAAAAGAAAACAAGTAGTGAAACTGTAAGATATTGTTCACAATTTTAAGAAATCCTGTCACATTAAAGTTCTATAAATGAGATACCTCATTGCCTTTCACTAACATGTTTTTTTGCAGCATTTTTGAACCTGCACTTGAAAGACTTTCCAATTCCTCTCCCTGTGATGTTATTTTTACTTGGATGCGGTTTTGAAGTATTAAGCTTTACATCTTTTCGGGTGTGTATTATAAATGAGTATTTTATGCTATTTATTTGAGAATCATATAAATGCTGAGATGCCATTTAAAAATGTTCAGAAATTATTCATCTGCTCACTGTTCTGCCAGTTGATAGATGATTGTGATGTGGATAGCATCAGATCAAGTGTGTAGAAAAAGGAGCCAGGCCTGCAAAAGCTGAGATCTAGCTGAGATCTGCAAAAGCTGAGTACATACAACTACTGAGTACATACAGCTACTGAGTACATACAGCTACTGAAAGTATTAGTGGCCAAGGAATGTTAAACAGATTTAGAAAACTTGGGGAAAAAAAGGCTAATGACATAGGAGCTCAGGAAGACTTTGTATTGCTGGTGCAGGACTTGAGTAGCAAAAATATTGTAATATTGAACTAATCTATTTCCTCAATGAAGACTGTTTTAAAGGGTTTCTGTTAGAAGAGAAACTAGTCTCTTAAGTGTGCAGATTTGGCCAAGGGGCCATAATTTGCCAGTCTGCCCTAGTCCATCAGAATGGATGTGAGAACTTGTCTGAAATGATTGACTTTCCCAAACAAATTTAGTCAATGATGTTAAAAATATTATACAAAACATGTATTCATGTAAGAACTAGAAACAGTTTACTACTTTACATGTCATAAACAGGTTTTATAATCATATGCTTTTGACACAGATGCAATTTGAAGTACTTCTATAAGCTTTATTATTTGTCAGCAACTCCTTCAAAGGAAGAGACCAATGTTAAGACCCATGAAGTGTCAGATTTTTCTCTACTTGCCAGCTAATAAGCTAGCTTGCCAGTTTCATGATCCCAGCAAAAGACATGGGACTCCTGGACCAGAGAAAAAGGGTTTTATTATCCACAGCAATAGCAGTAACCAGAGTTAACACTTTCTTGTGCCTGTTTCCTGAACCATAATCCCAAAGAAGAAAAGAGGGCCAGGTGAAATCTGTACCTACATTGGGTTATATATCTGGCCACAGAAGAAGAAATGTAAGCTTAGAGAACCTGAATCCTCTATAATGGGTAGTAAGCTCATTTGCTCCCTTGCCTATTCTTCCACACACATCTTCTATATAAGCCATGGCCAGTTATTTGTAGTTTTTAGAATTTGATACAATCACTTACTCCTTTGTGAATTTTGTGCTTGATTATCCACCTACCTGAAACTTCTTTCTTCATCTTGATTGCCTGAAAATCTGCTGCATATTCTTTAGTGCCCATGTCAATGTACTTCCTATACCTGTTCTTTAAATATAATAAATGTCTCTGAGGGAGATATTATCTTTATTACACTGAACAGTAAAGTAAACCTGTCATTTGCTCTGGAGGAAGACACTTGCTCTACCTTCTAAGCCATACCAACATTCATGAAAAGATAGTCTGGAAGAAAAACAATCAATGCCTGTATTCATAAGCCACGGACAACACAAGAGATGCATGGAGAATTATCTCCCAAATGCAAGGATATTACCTAACACAGTAGGTACTCAGTGTTTCCCTAATAAGTGAATGTTGAATGGATACCTATAATAGGATTTACACATTTCAACTAAATATCTCATGTTAAACATTGTTAATTAGTTATTGCATGAATTGCATTAACTTTCCAGTCTCTATCCCTTCTATTCTTCCACACACATCTTCTACATAAGCCATGGCCAATTATTTGTAGTTTCTAAAATTTGATATGATCACTTACTCCTTTGTGTGATATGTCTTTTAAAAATTGTCTTTCTCTACTGTTAGATTTAGGAGTGCCTAGCATGTATTCTATTCTAATAGTGATGAGTAAATGAGAAGATGATATATTTGTATAATATTAGGTCCAAAGATACGCAAACGCCATACAATGGATGAGTCCAGACTTACTTTTTTGTATATTTGCACCAGTAATTTTCTTTACTACTGCATTTGACATGGATACATACATGCTTCAAAAGTTATTTTGGCAGGTAAGCTTTCTTTTTTGGTAATGTCATTCATTCATGAACCACATATTATCTATGTTCAAATTTTTAGAATATTTTTTTCCAAAATAGGGAACAAAGAAGAAATAAAAGGGCATGGGAGTAATAAATTCAGCTTCATAATTTAGTGAATAAATCATATCTTGGCGATAGTCTGGCATATCAAAGACCCAGGGGAAAAATTATGAAAGAAAACAGTAATTCTGAGACTCAGACTCGCATAACTTCATACCAGATATAATATTAACTCTGAAATACTACAAGAGTGCTATAAGAAAGTGTATTAGCTCCAGTAAAAGGAAATTGTTAAGAAAAGTCATGTTTTAAATACCTATGTTCTAAAGCTTCCCACATTCATATCTAAGAGAATAAAAGCAGAGAAGAAAACACAGAAGCAGCTAAACTCTAATTCAAAAGCCATAAGAAATTTTTTAACATGCAAGATTTGAACTGTATCAGGGAAAGACCTCAAGAGAAAACACTCCAAATCATAAGTAGGGTGTACATTTCTTTCAAAGTAATCAAAACAGTTTTATAAATACAGGCCATTACCTAAACTGCATTAGAAGCAAATAATTTATTAGAATAATTTATACTTTTAAACCAAACGCAGACACATGGAGTTCAGACAAATGACAAAAAGATGAAATCAAAAAGAGCAGACATAAAAGGGGTTTGGGTTGTCTCAGGTGTGCTCTGCCAAGCCATCTCCTGCATCTTTGGTCAAGTAGAAGTCAGCTGAAGCAGAGTGAGCTAGATGGCCCCACTCCTGTGTCTGCTGGTGGGTACTATTGGTGTTGGTTGATTCTGTATCTCCAATAATCCTGATTATCTTCTTCTTAAAATGGACTACAAAAGCAGTCTGATTTTTCTAATTGTAAATTTCTTTGCAGATACTTTTAATTACAATTCCCGGCTTTTTGGTTAATTATATCTTAGTTCTTTGGTATCTGGCAGCTGTAAATAAATTACATTTGAAGCCCACCCCATGGTTATTATTTTCAGCTATCCTTGTGAGTTCGGATCCCATGCTAACTGCAGCTGCTGTAAGAGACCTTGGTAGGTATATTGCTCTCTTTTTCTATATTTATAATATCATATTTCATAATGAACTTGCATTTGTTTTAAGATCTTTTGTTTTTGGTAGCTTTCCAGTATGAGAAGTCAGGTAGTGAGGGATTGGGGGTTGGGGATTAAGCAGAGATTTTGGAGGTCATGCTTAGGGCAGAAGAAATGCCAGTGACGGGCTTATTTAGTGTCAAAAAAAGTATTATACCCAATTGTGCAATGAGGGAGGGGATTCATTTAGAATCCTTGACTTTATGCAGACCTCTACCTTGAGCCAACAGAATAATTCTGGGACATTACAATATTGCATATACACTGTCGTGACATTTCTGTTGCCCAATATTTCTTTTCCTTTGTAAAGAATCATTAGGACAATTCCATTTAAAAAGTATTTTGCCTTTGGCATCATTGTCATCATCAAGACTGAAAGCCTAAAAAGTCAAAAACTGGTAAAATCATCAGTCATACAGTGTTTTGAGTGTATACTATTTTAAGAAAAATCAGTCTATATTTAAAAGTAAAATACCAACTCAATTTAGCCCAGAAAAACAAAAACAAAAAAAGCCTCATGCAAGAAAAACAATAATTTTATTGTCTCTTTTCATCACTTTTTAATAATGAGAACTAGAAAAATTGCTTTAAAATAGAATATTAATATGGCACACACACGCATGCATTTGCACACAGACAACACGCACGCTCTTTTCAATTTTAATTTCACTTTGTAACCAGTTAAAGGGGAAATAGCTATCTGAGGCAAGTAGAAATAGAGTAGGGGAGATACATCAAGTGTAAATATATGAATAAATGAGAACTGAGCCTTCAAGACAAAGGACATTAAGAGAGTGAGATGACACTTTAGAAGAAGATACCAACATCCACCACCCAACCCTGAATTCTTGTCTTCCTCCCCACACTCTCAGCCCACATCCCTGCCTCCTTGTGACTGTCAATGCCAACCCTTTTCTCCTCTATATTTGAGAGACTCTTATGATACCTGAGAGCTGATTTCCTTCTTGTCTAACTTTCTTATCTTGTAATCTAGTATTCCACTGATTTTCTACCCTGCCACAATTGAATTCAATTTACTCAGAGTACCTTGCGAGGTTATTTTCATAAATTTTGTCCATCTTGCCATTACTTTCAGAATTTTGTTTCTCTCCCCCCTGTATCTTTCCAGAAGACATTTTTAAAAGTAATTTCTTCTTGGCAGCATTGTTGCTGAATTTACAAAACAAGATTCATAAGATTTAGAAAGATGTATATATGTGTATGTGTGTGTGCGTGTGTATGTGCACATATATATATATGAAAAATTTGCCCAAGACTGTCAGAATACATAAGTACATTCACATTGGCTTGAGCTTCTCATGGTCCTTTGACTCCTCCTATGCCCTTATATTATCTACTATGTATTTCTGAATATTTACATTTTGTCATAGTTCCATTTATACAATAATATCAGTTAGGTTTTGCTGAGTAATAAACAACTCCAAATGTGGTGGCTTAAAACAACAATTATTTATTATTTCTCATGAATCCAGCAGTTCTGATGATATGGGCTGGGTCCTGCTGATCTTGCTAGGTTCACTAAGGAATCTATCATCAGCTGGTGGACACTGGGGGTGCTATGTGATCCAGGATGGCCTCAATTGGGAAGATCTACGTTTCCTTCATGTATCTCTTATATTCCTACAGAGGAATGCTGCCGTGGTGGTGGCAGGAGTCAGAGAGGAGGCAGAACTTTTCTGCTCTCATTGAGTCTCATAACAAAACAAACTAGATCTTTTTGGTGAGAAACACTGCCAAGTCTTACAGGGAAGGGCTTAGATACAGGCAGAGGTGAAGTATGGGATGGCCAAGGCAATCGAGCCACACAGGAACAGCCTTGGTGTTTCCTCTCCTCTATCAGCATACTGATTGTAGTTAGGTTGTGATTGCGGTTATAGACTGGTTGATTCACAGAAAGGACTTTTACTGTATAATAACATTTCCTCCTATGAGTTTTAGAAAATCACGATAGATGCTCAAAGTTGTAGCTTAACCACTACATGCACATTTAAGGGCAGAGGAAAAGGACAACTGATAGACATTTAAACTTAGAATGCCATCATAAATAGAGGAAAATTTGGATGGAAGTGCATAATATCAGGAACTCTCCATTCATGGAGACCGATTTCTAAAACCATTGGGAAGAATGAATGAGAAAGTCAGATAATCTCTAAGCCTAGCTAGATTATGTGAACAATTGCCTTAATACTTACGTTATGTTATAAAACTTTGGTTTGTAACTTTATTTTATTCCTCAATCATCATTTTCTGTCTTGCCTTAAATATATCTGATTTATCATGTATGTATTTATATAGAACAACTCACTGAATTAAAAATAATAAATTTCATGTTTTCCTCTGTACTTTGAAGCAAGGAATGAGAACTTTAATTATCTCACTTACGTAAACATAATGGACCCTAATTAATTTAGTACCAATTATGATGGTCTAAACTTAACTTGCAGTAAATCCATAGCTAAGACCATCCTTATAGTTGCTAAGAAAATTTTATTCTTTAACATTTAATATTTAATGTTTTTCTCACTTTATAAAACATCTTTCCCCCTCAACATATGTAGGGCTTTCTAGAAGCCTCATCAGTTTAATTAATGGAGAAAGTCTGATGACCTCTGTTATATCGTTAATTATATTTACTAGTATTATGGATTTTGACAAAGAACAACAAAATAAAAGGAACCATACCATAGGTAAGGATCTTTTTTTTAAAATGTTTTTTTCTTAACATCAGAATCCTGTATTTTCTGAAAGCTGATGTGTATTTTTTAATATCCTACCATAAGTTATATTTGTAAGAATGTAATAGTGAGTATTGGTTTAGTGACTTACTCTTTACAAAGCACTATTACCCATTACTTATTTAATGTTAGTTACATATTTGTTGTGAGACTGGGTTGAGACTATTCATGAAGATGCTTATGGGAGAGGCCTGGGATGAACCAGAATGCCAGACAACCAGAATAAGAGATGTTCTTTTTTATGTGCTGAAGATGAGCTTAGAAGATAAACCAAATAGTGCATCCACTAGTAGTGAGAGGAGGCAGCTTCTCTTCCGTTTGCCCTGGGACTATATCTCATGCAGGCAACATAAAAAGCTGTCAAATAAGAGAGGAAGTATGCGTTATTAGCCATCTACAGGGTCAGAGAATAGTGCTTGTAAGCAGAGGGGTTGCAAAGTGCCCATGAGCTGTTTCATTTACCGCTTTCAGATAACCCTAAACCATAAGTACTTTTCTCCCCTTTATCATGTGTATGTGTGTGTATAAAATAAATGACATATGTATAATATGAGAGTGATTATAAAGTATACAGCTATATAACTATTAATCAGGAGAAGACATTTCATGTTACCAGCATCCCTAGAAGCATCTTACGTGCTCTTCTCTGGTCAAAGCCCTGTATCTTCCTCCTAGAAAAGTCATTTTCAATGTTGAGTCTCTGAATCCCTGGCTAGTGGAGGAGAGGGGTTCATAGGATCTTTTCAGGGTGTCTATGAAATCAAAGCATTTTCATAATATTACTAAGAATTTATTTAGCTTTTTATTGTGGTGCACTTGCACTGGTTTTGGAAAAGCAATGATTATAGTCTCCTCGATAAACTGACGACATACTATTCTACGCACTGGGTGTCTTCTTTGTTCTAAGGTCTTATGCAGCATTGTCTCATTCTGCCACTACCCCCATTCCTGTTGAAAAGGTGTGCTTAAGAGGTGCCTCCACAACATATTCTAATCCATTGATCTGTATGGTATCAAACAATTCACTCTGCTGTGGTGGGCTTCTTCTACTCCCCGCCTCCCCTCAGTAATGAAGAATATCTTAAATTACCTCTCCTACTATTCAGGAAGAGGAGATTTTTAGCTGTAATTGTTTTCCCTGCCCCTAGAGAGTGCTTCATTGTTGTGCAACTAGGGACCCTGTATACCTCTATTCTTTCCTATTCCTGCCTTATCCTAAAACTCAGAAGTGAAGAATATTCTTTCCCAAGAAGAATCATCCTGAGGACCACCACTCCTCTCACCCCTTCCTCAAAGGAGCTGATCCAGGTAGTGGACAGTTACCCTAATTGGGCATAGGAGATATTTACTTTCAGCCTTTGAGGCTTGTGGGCAACAGATGGGTGAAGCTCTGTGTATGGTGTTAGTTTGCCTAGCCCACGGAAGCTTGGAGCATCTGTGGTGAACCTGGAACCTCAGATTAGCTCAGAAAGGTACATTGTCTTTAGGTACTTCCAATTCACCATCTGTGATGTGTGTGAAAGCCGAACAACCATAAACACAACCTCTACTAAAATCCAGGGTGCAAAGGGAGGTGACGCAATATGGCACTCAGAGAGTGCTCACCCTAAAACCTCCTATAGCTATGACCTTCCTGCAGTTGACTAAGTTGAGCAACAAAGAAATTTCTATATTCAGAAGCATTTTAAAAACTCAAGGGCCACCCTTGGGGGAACTAAAAAACCTTAAAGAAGTACAATCTTGCATGCCATTGGGAAGGATCCATGTTCACCTACTAAACCTGGTTCAGTGTTCTACCAGGCTTTATTTAAGATATTATATACTGACCACGGAATTTCAGGGCAACTTATATCAGAAATAACATCTACAGGCTAATCAGGGGAACTTTTTTGGTGCTCCTTGGGAGAAGGGAAAGGAAAAGGAAGAATGGAAGTTCATTCATTCACTGATTCAACAATGATTTATTAATATGTACTATGTGAGAATTTCTATTCTAGGACCTGAGGATTTAACCATACACACAATAGGCAAAGTCCCATTGCCTCCACAGAGCTTGCCTTGTAATTTTGATAATAATCAATGGAATGGAACTTTATTTTTTTGTGTTTCAGAAGAAGAAAAACTGTAAGTAATCACTGTAAAATAATAAAAGTAATAACTTCAACAATAAAAACTCTGCTGTAGGAGAAAGAGAACGATGAACTTACTTTCTTAGACATTAGGACTTTCTCTGAACTTCAACACCTTTGAAATACAAATTTTCTTTAAGAAATAAAGATGCTTAATAAGCTTTACTGCTATTTCATTTGACATTGTGAATCAATAATTTTCAGAGTAACCATTGTTTTTATAATTTCTGTAATTATTTAAACAGTGTTACTAATCTTTGAAGTTAGCACGTATTTTATAATAGGGAAAAATTAAGAAAGATTATTTCACTCAGAGTTCTTACTCTTTCCAATTTGAGTGCTAGAAATTTTAAAACAGTATAAGCAGTAATGGCTTTGCTTTGAGACTTTTCCTGGCTTAACAAATCTAGTCAGCAAATATGTTACTTATTAAAATGTATTTTCCTTTCTTAAAGGAAAAAACAGCTTTCAAACTGGGGTCTTCTAACTCCAGATTCCTGTATGCTTCTGCCACTAGAGTTGGCCTCCATCCTATATTTCAGTGACAGGAGATGCTGGACTCAAAATTATTACAATGACCAGCTCTGTGCCTAGAGCTCATGTGGCCTGGAGGCATGTGTACTTCCAGAAAATGAGCCTATGATGGCCTCCGACTCCCTGTTTTCCTGGGAAGGGCATCATGACATTGCTCTGTGGAAAGTAATTAGGCAAAACATAAAAGTAACAACACCAAAAAGCAAATATATTTTGGCGCATTAATTTTACTTTTGGAACCTAAAAAGTACTCAGAGAAGCCCAAGAGAGAAAAATGTATGTACAGAAATATACATTGCAACATTGTTTATCAGGGTGAAAAGGTAAAACATATGAAATGCCGAAAAAGAAGGAAGCCATCAGTCACTTTGGCAGGCCAACATAATGCAGGAGATTCACCCAGCTGAGGCCTAGAGACGTTCCTCTTTCTGTAGTTCCTGTATGTATTACATTAGATCTAGATTATCACTTCCATGAGTTTAGGGACTTCCCACTTGTTCCTTCATATATCTCTAAAATCTATTACATGTTTGACACATTAAAGGCACTGAATAAATTCCTCAATGGAGACCGAAAGGAGCTCTTAAACTAAACTGACCAAATTTTCCAAACTTAAGTGTGGCTTTTAGCAGTTGAAAAGAAACTCTTTCAACACAGAAACAAGAAAATATTGTCCATCTACCCCAAAGGCAATGAGCTATTTTTATTAATATTAGTTTTAGTGGACAAATCATAATGTATACATTTGCGGGGTACAATGTGAGGCTTTGATATATGTATACAATGTAGAATGATTGAATCAAGCTAATTAACATCACCTCATTTAACTATAATTTTTTATGACGAGAGATTTGAAATTTACTCTCTTAGTTATTTTGAAATACCAATATATTATTATTGACTATAGTCACTTTGCTGTGGAATAGATCTGAAAACTTAGTACTGCTTTCTCTTGGAAACTTTGCACTTCATAATCAACAGTTCCCTATTCTCTTCCTCCCTACATCCCCAGCCTCTGGTAATAATTATTCTACTCTCTATTTCTGAAAGTTCAACTTTTTTAGTTTCTACATATAAGTAAGATCATGCGGTATTTTTCTTTCTGTGCCTGTCTTACTTCACTTAGCATAATGTCCTCTAGGTTCGTCCATCTTGTTGTAAATAACAAGACTTCCTTCTTTTTTAAGGATGAATACTATTTCACTGTGTATGTATACCATATTTTCTTTATTCATTCATTGATGGACACTTAGGTTGACCCCATATATGGGACATAAATAATCCAATTTAAAAAATAGGCTAAGAACAGATAGACATCAAAAGAAGACATACAAATGGTCAACAGGTGCTTTTTTTTTTTTTTTTCCGAGACAGAGTCTTGCTCTGTTGCCCAGGCTGGAGTGCAGTGGTGTGATCTCGGCTCACTACAACCTCCACCTCCCGGGTTCAAGCTGTTCTCATGCCTCAGCCTCCCAAGTAGCTGGGATTACAGTCATGTGGCACCACACCCAGCTAATTTTTGTATTTTTAATGAAGATGGGATTTCGCCATGTTGGCCAGGTTGGTCTCAAACTCCTGGCCTCAAATGATCTGCCCACCTCAGCCTCCCGAGGGATTATAAGTGCTGGGATTATAGTCATGAGCTACAGCACGCGGCAGTCAACAGGTACATTAAGAAATGTTCAGCCTCACTAATCATTAGGGAAAAGCAAATGAAAACCATAGTGAGATATTGCTTCACATCTGTTAGAATGTCTTTTATCAAAAAGGTAAAAGAGAACTGTTAGTAAGATTGCAGAGAAAAGGAAACTCTTGTACACTGTTGGTGGGAATGTAAATTAGTACAGCTATTATGGAAAACTACGTGGAAGTTCCTCAAAAAACTAAAAGTAGAACTCTACCATATGATCCAGTAATCCTACTTCTGGGTATATGTCCAAAGGAATTGAAATCAATATGTCACAGAGATATCTGCACTCTCATGTTCACTGTGGCAATTAGCTAATTTTAAAGATAATGACAAAAAGGAAAACTAACCCAGAATATCAATTAAAATTAAGGGCAAGTTCTATTAACTACTTCTTATTTCCTCCCCTTTCTTGTAGCTCGATACATCGTGGGTGAATTTTTTTCAAATATTATAGCAAGTTTCTTGGTTGGAATTCTAAGTTCAAAACTGATTCAATTTTGGATGTCAACTGTTTTTGGTGATGATGTCAATCATATAAGTCTCATCTTTTCAATTCTGTATCTCATCTTTTATATTTGTAAGTGAGGGGCCTATGCCTATAATAAAATAACATAGAAAACTTCAAAATAAAAATATATGAAAAGTGTATACCAGGCAAAAGCTAGCAAAAACATTCAACTGATCTAGACAGAATATTTTTACTAAAATAATCTATCAAAAGAGATTAAAAATATGAATATCTATACAACAGAAAACAATGTACTAATATTAGCAAATACTATTATAAAAGAAGAATTTGACAAAACTATCATTACAGAAATTATGCTTTTCCCAGAGAATTTCATAACTAATTGAACAAAAAATAATTATGGCTATAAAAATATTTAAATATCTTAGAAGTTTGGTTTATAAGATATATAGTTTTACCTCCCAAAACAGAATGCATATCCTTTACATATACATGTAGGCAATTTGCAGAAATTAACTCGAAAAACATTTCAATAAAATTTCAAACATTGTTCAACCATGATGCAATTAAATTAAATATGAACTACAAAAAGAGGGTTCCTACCAGGCATAGTGGCTTATTCCTATAATCCTAGCACCTTGGGAGGCTGAGGTAGGAGGATCACTTGAGCCCAGGATTTTGAAACCAGTCTGGGTAAGATAGTGGGACCCCATGTCTACAAAAATTTTTAAAACTAGCTAGATGTGGTGGCACATGTCTATAGTCCCAGCTCCTCAGGAGGCTGAGGCGGGAGGATCACTTGAGCCCAGGAATTTGAGGCTGCAGTGAGCTATGATTGCACTCCAGCCTGGGCAACAAAGAGAGAAGCTGTCTCTCTAACGAAAGGGCAGAGGGGGGCAGTTTCAACCTGTAAATAAGATATTTTGTCTTGGTAACTCTTAGATCAGAAAGGCAATCAAAATAGAAGTTACATATCAAGTAAAGCTAAATGTTGGAAAATCTATCAATATTATTAATCCATGTCCCACAATCACCTCCTCACAAAAATATGGTAGCTATTGATAATTAGTCATACCATTGCTTCCTGACACAGCTTCAGAATAACATTTAATTCAGCTCTTCAGACAGCCCTTCTTATGATTCGGAATTGACATGCACGATAATACCTAGTTACCTCACCTGCACTATGTCCCTGTTACATTTAGGAATAAGACAATGGTGTATATTCTCACATCCATGATTAAAAATTCTGAAAGCTCTAGCTAATGTGATAAGGGGAAACATTTATACATATTTTAAAAGAAAAAAATGGGTAGATTAATCACAACATTTTATATCATATAGAATATTCAACAGAATTGGTAAACAAAGTCAGCAAGACCCTTTAATAGCTTGATATAAGATAAAGTTATCCAAACAGTTGATGATATTTTTATCAGCCAGCAATAACTAACTAGAAAATAAGAAAATTGGATTCTTTCTATACTGGTAAAAAGTTATAAAATATTAATGAATAAACTTAACAAGTAGTTTGGATCTAAACATAGAAAATTATAGAAGTTATTAGGAAATATAAAATTTGAATAAATTTAAGCATAGAAAAACTTCTCTTCAGAAGTGCTAGAGTAATGGGAATTTATTATTTTCCCTCTGAAGAGGAAAAGGCAGACCAGAGGATCTTGAGGCTTTCCAATGAATTAATCAGTGGATTAAATTCTTAAAAGAAAATCCAACAAATATAATTTCATCTAACATTATTTTTAATAAGTAACCCTAATTTCAAGATTAAAGGTTATACCCAAGGAAATAATTTAAAACTTTTAGAGTCAAGATGTCTCAATAAACATTTTAGGAAGAAACCTGCCAGGACAGAATTTCATTAAAACCAGGTACAGAGTAAATATAAATTTAATGTAAAAAGACTTTCCCTGTGACCTGGCTTTGTGTTTATATTTAGTACCTTCAAGATAGTCATTATAAATATTTTCCTGACTTCACCATCACCTAACAAGTTATAATACCTAATCCAGGGCTTGATTATTTCAAAGAACCTATGTCCATGATTTCTTCTTCTTTCATGATTCAACAGTGACTCTGCCTTTGCTACCATTTTCAGCCAGGATTAAAATAAAAAATAGAAAACTTGTAATTTTCCATCTTTAGAAGGGAAAACTCAATAATGTAATAATGGCATTAATTTCACTAAATTAAACTTTATTACAATCCAAATCAAACAATGATAGAAATTTTTTTGTTTTTAAAATTTCCTTCTCTCTCTCTCTCTCTTTTTCTTTTACTTTACTTTTTTTTTTTTTTGGATGGAGTCTCCTTCTGTCGCCCAGGCTAGAGTGCAGTGGCTCAATCTCTGCTCACTGCAAGCTCCGCCTCCTGGGTTCATGCCATTCTCCTGCCTCAGACTCCCAAGTAGCTGGGACTACAAGCACCTGCCACCAAGCCTGGCTAATTTTTGTATTTTTAGTAGAGATGGGATTTCATCATGTTAGCCAGGATGGTCTCGATCTCCTGACCTTGTGATCCACCCACTACGGCCTCCCAAAGTAGTGGGATTATAGGTGTGAGCCACCGCGCCCGGCCCTCTCTCTCTCTTAGAAACAAGAGTCTTGCTCTGTTGCCCAGGCTCTGGAGTACAGTGGCATGATCATGGCTCACTGCAGCCTCAACCTCCTGGGTTTAAGCAATCCTCCCACCTCAGCCTCCTAAGTAGCTGGTACTACAGGCATGTGCCACCCAGCCAAGTCAATTTTTAAAATTTTTTGTAGAGACAGGGTCACATTATGTTGCCTAGGCCAGTCTCAAACCCCTGGGTTGAAGCAATCATCCCACATCAGCCTCCCAAAGTGCTGGAATTATAGGTATGAGCCACTGTGCCTATCCAAAATTTCATGACAATTTCAAAAGTTCATCTAGGGAAATTAATGTGTGAGAATAGGCAAAACAATTTTTTTAAGTGGTGAACTTTCTCTACCAGATAGGTATTAAAACATTTAATAGGTCTACAGTAATTAAAATACAACTGTTGTAACACAGGAATACAAAGTAAGTCAAAGAAACACAAAGGGCACAGAACTAGTCCAAGTATGAATGGCAATTTAATATATGATAAAAGTAGAATATCCACAATATTCTTTAGTATTAAAAACATATATTTCAATTTTTACTTATTAACTAGAACTATGTCTGCTAAGAAGGAGGTATAAGTTGTGGGCAAGTTCACAAAGAAATCATCAGCTGATTTTCATTTCAACCCTCCAGAACCCATCTGAAACAACCAGACCTCTAAAGTGTGCTCTAGCCTCAATGGGGTATGTGAAGCTGTGCACAGATGTCCACAGTAGGCTTTACAATACAATTGGATATAAGTTGGAGGAAGAAAAAGGACATGGGGTGGTGGTAATAATTTGCAATATTTTTCAGCTGAAATCAAGTGAAGTTGCCTCTCTATAAAAGTCACGGTACTGTCACAATATCTGATACTTCTAACTTGGGTAAAATTTGTGCTGCTGCTGATGTTAAATTAATACTTTATATTTATTTCTTTTTAAAAATAGGTGAGTTACTTGGAATGTCAGGAATATTTACTCTGGCCATTGTGGGACTTCTTTTAAATTCTACAAGTTTTAAAGCAGGAGTTGAAGCACTTCTTCTTGAGTAAGTGGCTAGCATATTTTCACTTTACTTCATAAACTGGAATGTATAATATCATAATAGTAACAATATCTACATCTACATGGCCAAAGTAAGATTTTCAAAGACTTGAAAACTACCCAACTAAAAACCTTTACTAGATTTTATTTTTTCTTGCCAGTATCTTTGAATCCTCCAATTTAAAGCAAATTCGTAACCTTACCTTGAGTCCATGTTGATTCTCTTTCCCCACTAATTCCTCAAGTCTCTGATTATCTCCTCAATAATTTCCCATGTAAAATCTTGTACCCACTAGTAAGAGGGTTCCAAAAGTGCAGTAATCGAGAAGTAATATTTTAATATTTTAATGCAATATTTTAAAATTAAGTTTAAGTTGAACTTAATGCAAAAAAAATCTAAAAATGAGTATTTTAAGGACAATGAGGTGCTGTGTAAAGCAAATCAGAAGAGTAAGCTGGGGCATTTGAAGAGGATTAGCAGTGTTATAAAAGAAAGTATGACCAAACTAAATGTAAGCAAGACTAAGGGTGGAAAAGTGCAAATTGTGCCTTGCTCAAGGGCACTCAGCTGAGGGGTGAGTAGTTATCAGCCAAAAGGAAGAGCACTTTCTGTAATGCTTCGATACGTAGAGTGGAAACTTGACCTGAACCACATAATGACAACATATGTGTTAACAAAGACCCTGAAAGTAAACGATGATTTTTAGAGTTTTGGGACAACGTTATAGAAGATAGAATTAATTCTGATGTAAGAAGCTTAAAAGATATAGGGTCTTATAGGATTCTGGGGCACTTCAATAAAATTCCATGCCAATTACAATGGAAGTCAATTGTACTTACACTTAGGCAAAATTAAATGGACCACAGTTGAGGGAAGAATTTAAAATGCTACACAAGTATTAGCTATATATATGGGGAATTATTCTGAAGGTTTTCCTCTCCTTCTTGCTCCAACTGTAAGTTGGATCTTCAAATATATTACTTATCTTTATTCTTCATTCCTTGTAAGTTGTGATGTCTTTCTTGCCTGCATTCCTAGTACTATTGAGCCTACAATTGAAGTAGGTGATCTCTCTGTACCTCATATTGATTTCTAAATCATTCTATCTCCCACTTCCTTAAAAGAATCCAATTTAGAAGCTCGTGCCATCAGAATATACCATCTGCCTCTTGGTTGTGGTTATCTATAGAATTCTAACTCACATTCTCCATTTTGTGAAGATTTTAGTTCCTGTCTCACTGTGACTCTCCAATATTACTTTATCACCATTCTTAGTGATGTCAATATTCATACAGTTAATCCTTTACTCCGTCATCTTCCAATTCCTGTATCTTCTCTCCTTGTATAAGTATGTCCACCACTCCTCTTTAACCACCCACTCCCACAGTTGTACAAATAACTACTTCATAAACACAGTTGCAAGAATCTTACTGTCTAAAATATGGCACGTACCAACTTCTACTCTTGAAGATAGTGGAAATCTAAGATAATGGTGTTAAATTCTACTAACATCTCAAAACAACCTGTAACAGATCCATGTTAACTCTTAAACAGAGAAGGTGTACCATCTCCCATCTTTTCACTGTATGCCCTCTAGTACCTAAATTCTAACAATTCTGCAACCATACTGAGACTAAAATCCATTGATTCCATCATCTTTTACTGACCCTCACCCATCTCATATTTTCAATTCCTCTTTATCCAGGTCATTTCTTTTGTGTAAAATAATTTAATAACTTTTCATCATTTTCAGCTAAAAAAGTTGTTTGTAAATGTTTTATTCATTTCTGATAATCATTAGCACAATGATTCACATAGATAAACCTTGTAATCAAGATGTCAAATTAATCAATTATAAATATTTTTAATTTTTTCTGAATAATGCAGATTCTGGAATTTTCTATCACGTGTTGCTTTTCTCATGGTGTTTACTTTCTTTGGACTTCTAATTCCTGCACATACATATTTGTATGTAAAATTTGCTGATATATACTATTCATTAAATATCTACTTCACACTGATTGTTTTAAGGTAAGAACATCATTAAAATTTTTCTATCTATAGATAATTGAGTAAGTTTAAAGATCATCTTTTAAATAACACAAAGATTTCATACCTTAGATTGAAAAATTGACTCAAACTTTCCAAGGATCATCAGCAAATAAATGCTTAGTAATATTTTTCTTGGCTTTTAACTAAATTTCAAAGCAATGCAAACTCTGTTTTTTTTTTTTAATTAGAAACAAACACAATTAACATTTAACATATTTTGTCCAATGTTTTTGTAATGACATTTCATGAAGTTAAGTACCTCTTATAAATCAAAATCTTGTTTTTGCTCAATATTATATAGCAAACAATTTTCTATTAATTAAAAACTACAGTTAGAAATTGCTTTTTAAAAATCATAGGGAAGCCTCTTTGTAAACGTCTTTTTTCTCAAATAATTTTTGTAGTTTCTTTTTCCACTGTTAAGAGGTAGAAAAAAGTCTGTTCATGTAGCTGAAAAGGAGACAGCATAGAGTGAGAAAAACCATCATAACTAGAGTCTCATAGTTCTTTAATCTCCATCACTCAAATGGTTAACATTCTGCTTCCATCTAGTTGAATTGTTGAAGTCAAGGCAGCTAGTTCCAACTAAAACAAAATTATTTCCCAAATTATCAGATCAAATTAGTGTAAAACATAGGAATGATATATGACTGAGGGAAAAAAAATCTGGCAAATATTGGACCAATTCAGCAAGATTAAAATCTATAAACAAAAAGAGAGCATTTTCTCACTTTTTATTCATTAGATTTGTTTTTATTTGGGGTGGGGATTCAGAATTTATGCACAACACATCTCGAACTTTTTTTTTTCCTCCTCCTGAAGGAGCGTCACTCAAGGATGATGTAAAGTTACTATGCTACTCACCTAATAGAAAGAAACAAAGAATAATACCATTCTCTTGGCATGTCTCTCTATGTCCGCCTTTCTTTGGTGTCATGTCAACAGTGTGTGAAATATGTCTCATTTGTTTGAGAGTTATGAATTCTACAGGGAGTAGATTAGAGTAGAGTAGAAAGAAATGGAAAGAAACTCCTATGAAAGAATAACTTTCTAAAAATTGTTTTGTCTTTTAGACTTGTGACCCTTCTGTTAATGAGCCCTGCTTTGTCTCGAGTTGGTCATGAGTTCAGCTGGCGCTGGGTATTCACAATGATCTGGAGTGAAACGAAAGGGATGCCTAATATAAACATGGCCCTTCTGCTTGCCTACTCTGATCTTTATTTTGGATCTGACAAAGAAAAATCTCAAGTAAAGAAACCTGTATTTTCTTATTTGAATATTGTATACAACTATTGCTGTGTATATAAAATATATTTTTTGTAGTGAGGTAGCTCAACTTCACTTGGGATGTAGGAGTGATTTAGCTATGATGGCAAGACTGGGGAGAGGAGGAACAACTGGCAACTTTCCTTCACCCCATTCTAGCTTAGGAATTCCTAAGTTTCTTCATACCCTAAAAATAGGTTTATTACAAAGATCAAAGTAATTCAAACTTATCAATCATTTAAAATAGTATCTGATACAAAATGTACACTCAATAATGTTTTAATTATTTATTGCACTCAAGAGAAGTGGAAACTTTCTTATGATTGGCCATGTTGCCTTCTGTAACTTTCTGAGGCCTCATTTAGTAATGCTATGAGCCAAAACATTTTAATTGTCAAGTAAAGCACTCTAAACAGTACCCTCAAACTCTGCTTAGCAGAAAATACTGGGCATAATTCTTCTACCATGTGCCTGGGCAAGATAATTACAAGGATCTCTATAAGAAAATTTCTATGCAGATATCACAGAGCATCTGATGCTTTTATTATCTGATTTTTTTTAAACGAAAATTCCAAGTGTATAAAGAGAAGTGGCAAGATAATCATTATGTGTCTACTTAAATAATATTCAGTCCAAATATTTAAAAAACTAATCTTTAAACTGCCTTTAAAATCAAAATTATCCAATATTGTATGACCTCTCCCTTCTATCTATTTCTTTTTTTTTTTTTTTTGAGACGGAGTCTCGCTCTGTCACCCAGGCTGGAGTGCAGTGGCCGGATCTCAGCTCACTGCAAGCTCCGCCTCCCGGGTTCACGCCATTCTCCTGTCTCAGCCTCCCGAGTAGCTGGGACTACAGGCGGCCGCCACCTCGCCCGGCTAGTTTTTTATATTTTTTAGTAGAGACAGGGTTTCACCGTGTTAGCCAGAATGGTCTTGATCTTGTGACCTCGTGATCCGCCCGTCTCGGCCTCCCAAAGTGCTGGGATTACAGGCTTGAGCCCCTTCTATCTATTTCTACATACCCAAATAATCAAGATCAATGTCATCACCATACACCTGATCAGTGTGATGGCTACCCTTGTGCACAGATCTAGGTTCTGAAATTTTTAGCTTAGCTGCTATTTGCTGCGTGGACATCAGCAAGTTTTTAATTCCCACCTCACCTCAAGTATCAGTTTCCTTACTCCAAAACAGACTTAATAGTATCAATGGTTTGCTGGTAAATATTTAACAAGTAACTTAAGTGTTGAGGTGAGAGGAAGCTCTAATTTGCAGTATTTGTCCATTTCTGTTGTGTAATCACTTCCACCAACAGAACATCAGTCAGCTCACAAAGTTCCTGAAATTGAATGATTAGCTTTCATGAGCTAGTGAGAGCCAGCCCAGCACACTATTATCACAAAGCATTATTATGAGAAACAAAAAATGTACATAAAATGCTTGGCACATTGTTTCGCATATAGCAATTGTACAATAAATACAAGCTCTGATGATGAAATTATAGTGATGATATACTCTGCAGTAGTGTTTTGAAACAAAATTTTAGTAAATAAAATCATTTAGTAAAATATCTTCACTAGAAGTAACTCCTTGAGAAGAAAGCAGCACTCCTTTTCTCAGTTTAATCTAGCAGAACCCTACAGTTAACCTAATACTTACCCAGAGACATTACAGTAAAGGGTTAAAAATACTAACATCAAAGACCTATTGCCTTTTTAATTCTGTCTCTACTATTCATAAGTTATGTTATATTGGGAATGTCACAGTGCCCCAGCCTCCCGTCTGTGTGATTGTACAGTATTGGTAATTACCTCACAAAATTGCAGTGAAGATTAAATAAGCCTGGTATATTGTATTATATGACTATTATATGTGTCAGCTACTCAGGAGGCTGAGGCAGGAGAATGGCGTGAATCCAGGAGTCAGAGCTTGCAGTGAGCAGAGATCGCGCCACTGCACTCCAGCCTGGACGACAGAGCGAGACTCCATCTCAAAAAAAAAAAAAAAAAAAGAATTATGCCCTAAAGAAATGTGTATTTTAGACCTATTTGAAGAAAGACTAGAATCATACCTTAGTAGGATAATGTGATCTGCCAGTAAATTAACTGCCTGACACAAAACTTGAAACTCTTTACAGGAAGACAATGTAATCAAGACTCTCAACAATGTAACATCCATAATACATAGCCTAAAATCAAATATTACTGCGCATGTGAAGAAGCAGGAAAATGTGGTCTATTACTAAGAGAAAAAATTATTCAATAGAAACAGCCACCCAAAGATGACACAGATGTTGGAACTAGCAAAACTTTTAAAAATATACTCAAGAATCTAAAGAAAAAATGGACATAAGAAATGAAGATATGGGGTATTTCAGTGAAGAAATTGAAACTATAAAAAAATCTAAAGAAAAATTCTAGCAATAGGAAATATCCAAACTAAAAATTTTTGTTATCAGCTTAATGGCAGATTGGACTGTGCAGAAGAAAAAATAATAAGCTCTAAGTTAATATGTTCTACAAGAGTGAGAAAATATATGAAGCAAAAACTGATAAACCTAAAGGGAGAAATAGATAAATTATAATTGGACATTTTAATACTTCTCTATATAACTCAACAAATTATAGAACAACTAGACAGAAAATCAGCAAAGATATGAAAGCATTGAAATCATCATCGACCAATAGGATCCAGTTTTTATGGAAATTATATCAATTGATGCAGAAAAAGTATTTTACAAAATGTAAAATTCATTCATGATAAAAACTTCAAAATATATGAATAGAAGGGAATTTTCTAATGTTGATAGAGAGCATCTGTAAAAAGTCTATAGGTAACAACATAATTAATAGTGAAAGACTGTTTTCCCTTTAAGATTTGAAACAATGTGAAAGTGTCTGCTTTTTCTTGTTTTAAAACTTTTATTTTAGGTTCAGGGGTACATGTGCAGGTTTGTTATGTGGGTAAACTGCGTGTCATGGAAGTTTAGTGTACAGATTATTTCACCCAGGAAATAAACATAGTACCTGATATATATTTTTTCCATTCTCACCTTCCTCCCAGCCTCCACTCTCAAGTAAGCCCAGTGTCTGTTGTTTTCTTCCTTGTGTCCATATGTACTCAACGTTATAGCTCCCACTTATAACTGTGATATATGGTATTTGGCTTTCTGTTCTTGTGTGAGTTCACTTAGGATAATGACCTCCACCTCCATCCATGTTGCTGCAAAGGACACGAGGACATGGTCTTGGTTTTTTTTTTTTTTTTTGCTTTTGTTTTTTTTGTTTTTGTTGTTGTTGTTTTGTTTGTTTGTTTTTGTGTTTTTAGAAAACCTTTTATTTTAGGTTCAGGGGAACATGTGCAGATTTGCTACATAGGTAAACTCACATCACAGGGGTTTGTTGTACAGAATATTTCATCACCCAGGTACTAAGCCTAGTACCCAATAGTTATTTTTTTTCCGATCCTCTCCCTTCTTCCATCCTCCATCTTCAAGTAGTCTCCACTATCTGTTGTTCCCTTCTTTGTATCCATATATTCTCATCATTTAGCTCCCACTTATAAGTAAGAACACCCAGTATTTGGTTTTCTGTTCCTGCGTTAGTTTACTAAAGATAACGGCCTCCAGCTCTGTTCATGCTCCTGCAAAGGACATGATCTCATTCTTTTATGTGGCTGCATAATATTCTGATATGGTTTGGCTCTGTGTCCCCAGCCAAATCTCATGTTGAATTGTAATTCCCAGTGTTAGGGGAGGAACCTGGTGACTGGATCATGGGGATGGATTTCCCCCTTACTGTTCTCATGGTAGTGAGCGAGTTCTCATGAGATCTGGTTGTTTAAAAATGTGTAGCACTTCCCCTTTCACTCTCTCTCCTACTCTGCCATGTGAAGATTTTGCCTGCTTTTCCCCTTTGCCTTCTGCCATGATTGTAAGTTTCCTGAGCCCTCTCCAGCCATGCTTCCTGTATACCCTGCAGAACCATGAACCAATTAAACCTTTCTTCTTTATAAATTACCCAGTCTGGCCGGGTGTGGTGGCTCATGACTGTAATCTCAGCACTTCAGGAGGCTGAAGTGGGTGGATCACTTGAGGTTAGGAGTTTGAGACCAGCCCCGCCAACATGGTGAAACCCTGTCTCTACTAAAAATACAAAAATTAGCCTGTGTGGTGGTGCGCACCTGTAATCCCAGATACACAGCAGGCTGATACATGAGAATCTCTTGAACCCTGAAGGCGGAGGTTGCAGTGAGTCGAGATTGCACTGTTGCACTCCAGTCTGGGCGACAGAGTGAGACTCCATCTCAAAAACGAAAACAAAACAAAACAAAAAACCCAAACAAACAAAAAACACCCAATCTCAGGTAGTTCTTGATAGCAATGTGAGAATGGACTAATACGTATTCTGTGGTGTATATGTACATTTTCTTTATCCAATCTGCCATGGTGGGCATTTAAGTTAATTCCGTATCTTTGCTATTTGTGAACAGTGCTGCAATGAGCATAGGCATGCATGTGTCTTTATGGCAGAACAATTTATATTCCTTTGGGTACATACACAGGAATGGGATTGCTGGGTCAAATGGTAATTCTGATTTTAGCTCTTTGAAGAATTGCCACACTGCTTTCCACAACGATTGTACTAACTTACACTCCCACTAACTGTATAAATGTTCAGTTTTCTCTGCCATCTTGCCAGCATTTGTTATTTCTTCACTTTTTAATAAGAGCTATTCTGACTGGTGTGAGATTGTATCTCATTACGGTTTTGATTTGCATGACTCTAATGATCAATGATACTGAGCTTTTTAAAATATGCTTGTTAGCTTCATGTATGTCTTCTTTTGAAAAGTGTCTGCTCATGTCCTTTACCCACTTTTAATGAGGTTGTTTGTTTTCTTGTAAATTTGTTTAAGTTCTTTATAAATGTTGCATATTAGACTTTTGTCAGATGCATAGTTGGCAAATACTTTCTCCCATTCTGTAGGTTTTATATTTACTCTGTTGATAGTTTCTTTTGCTGTGCAGAAGCTCTTACATTTAATGAGATCAATTTATCAAGTTTTGCTTTTGTTGTGATTGCTTTTGGCATCTTTGTCATGAAATCTTTGTCAGTATGTCCAGCATGGTATTGCCTAGGTTGTCTTCCAGAGTTTTTATAGTTTTGAGTCTTACATTTAAGTTTTTAATCTATCTTGAGTTGATTTTTTTTAAGTAGTGTAAGGAAGGGGTCCAGTTTCAACCTTCTGTATATGGCTAGCTAGTTATTCCAAAACCATTTATTGAATAGGGAGTCTTTCCCTATTGCTTCTTTTTGACAGCCTTGTCAAAGATAATATGGTTATAGGTGTGCAGCCTTATTTCTGGCCCCTCTCTTCTACTCTGTTGGTATACATGTCTGTTTTTGTACCAGCACCCATGCAGTTTTGATTACTGTAGCCTTGTTGGACATTTTGAAGTCAGGTAATGTGATGCCTCCAACTTTGTTCTTTCTGCTTAGTATACCTTGGCTATTTGAGCTCTTTTTGGTTCCATATGAATTTTAAAATAGATTTTTCTAGTTCTGTGAATGTCATTGTTAGTTTGATAGGAATAGCATTGAATTTGTAAATTCTTCGAGGCAGTATGGCCATTTTAATTATATTGATTCTTCCTATCCATGAACATGGATTATTTTCCATTTGTGTGTGTCATCTCTGATTTCACTGGGCAGTATTTTGTAATTCTCATTGTAGAGATTTTTTACCACACTGGTTAGCTATATTCTTAGGTATTATTTGGGCAATTATGAATGGGACTGCATTCCTGATTTGGCTCTTGGCTTGATTGTTGTTGGTGCATAAGAATGCTGATGAATTTTGTATGATGATTTTATATCCTGAAACTTTGTTGAAGCTGTTTACCAGTTGATGGAGCCTTTGGGCCAACTGTGAGGTTTTCTAGATACAGAATCATGTCTTCTGCAAATAAAGATAATTTGACTTCTTCTTTTTCTATTTGGATGCACTTTATTTCTTTCTCTTGACTGATTGATCTGGCCAGGACTTCCAATACCATAATGAGTAGGACTGGTGAGAGAGGGCATCCTTGTCTTGTGCCAGTATTCAAAAAGAATGCATCCAGCCTTCGCCTACTCAGTATGATACTGGCTGTGGGTTTGTCATAAAGGGCTCTTATTATTTTGAGGTATGGTCCTTTGATACCTAGTATATTGAGAGTTTTTAACAGAAAGAATTGTTGAATTTTATTGAAGTCTTTTCTGCATCTATGGAGATCTTCATATAATTTGTCTTAACTTCTGATCAATCATATTTATTTACTTGCATATATTGAACCAACCTTGCATCCCAATCAAGACTACTTGATTGTGGTGGATTACCTTTTTCATGTGCTGCTGGATTTCAGTTTACTAGTATTTTGTTGAGGATTTTTGCATCAATGTTCATCAAGGCTATTGGCCTCAAGTTTTCTTTTTTGTTGTTTCTCTGCCAGGTTTTGATATTAGGATGATGCTAGCCTTATAGAATGATTTGGGGAGGAGTTTTTCCTCCTTGGTTTTTTGGAATAGTTTAAGTAGAAATGGTACCAACTCTTCTTTGTGTATCTGGTAGTGTTAGGCTGTGAATTTGTCTGGTCCATGGCTTTTTTTGGTTGATCTATTTGTTACTGATTCGATTTGGAAACTCATTACTGGCCTGTTCAGGGAAACACTTTCTTCTTGGTTGAGGCTTGGAAAGATGTATGTGTCTAGGAACTTATCCATCTCTTCTAGGTTTTCTAGTTTGTGTGCATAGGGGTGTTCATAGTAGTCTGTGATGGTTATTTGTATTTTTGTGGGGTCAGTGGTAGTGTACCCTTTGTCATTTCTAATTGTGCTTGTTTGAATGTTCTCTTTTCTTCCTTATTAGTCGAGCTAGCAGCTTATCTGTCTTAGTAATTTTTTCAAAAATAAAAGAACTACTCGATTCATTGATCTTTTGAACAATTTTTTTTTGTGTGTTTTGATCTTCTCAGTTCAGCTCTGATTTCGCTTATTTCTTATCTTCTGCTAGCTTTGGGGTTAGTTTACTCTTGCTTCTCTAGTTCTTTTGGTTGTGATTGTAGGTTGTTAACTTGAGATCTTTCTTTTTGATGCAGGCATTTAGTGATATAAATTTCTCTCTTGACATTGCCTTAGCTGTGTCCCAGAAATTCTGGTATGTTGTCTTTTTGTTCCTATTAGTTTTGAAGAACTTCTTGATTTCTGCCTTTATTTTATTATTTATTGTGAGTTTTATTTACCCAAAAACTCATTAAGAAGCAGGTTGTTTAATTTCCATATAATTGGGTGGTTCTGAGTAATTTTTTAGCCTTAATTTCTGTTTTTATTGTGCTGTGATCTGAGTGTTTATGGTATGATTTTGCTCTGTTGCATTTGCTGAGGATTGTTTTATGTTTGATTGTGTAGTTGATTTTAGACTATTTACCATGTGGTGATGAGAAGAATGTATATTCTGTTGTTTTTTGATGGAGAGTTCTATAGAGGTCCATAAGATCCATTTGGTCCAATGCTGAGTTCAGATCCTGAATATCTTTGTTCATTTTCTGCCTTAATGATATGTTTACTACTGTCCGTGGAGTGTGGAAGTCTCCCACTATTATTGTGTGGGAGTATAAGTCTCTTTGTAGGTCTCTAAGAACTTGCTTTATGAATCTCAGCGCTCCTCTGTTTGGTGCATTAATATTTAGTATAGTTAGGTCTTCTTATTGAATTGAACCCTTTACCATTGTGTAATGCCCTTCTTTGTGTTTTTAAAATCTTTGTTGTTTTAAAGTCTGTTTTGTCTGCAAATAGGATTGTTTAACTCCTGCTTTTTTTTGTTTTCCATTTGCTTGGAAAATATTTTATTTTGAGCTTATGGGTGTCACTGCAGATGAGAAGG